AAAAAAAAAATCTCTATATATATAAAGATATGCATGATCATTTGGTGTTTGATTAAGGTACCTAAGATATTGAATTTGGATAAATCCCGCGTTTCGAAGTTGATCAGCTTGACCAGATTTAGCCATGGCTCCAAAAGCGGTACCGCTTAAATCAAAGTGAACAGACTCTGAGCAACCGGGGCAGGAATCTGTTATAGTCACCGTCACTGGATTGCCGGAACATGCTGCATTTCCAGTGCATTTAACCTAATGTGGCATTGGACCAACGTCAGTATCGACTAAATAAAAACATGCTATCAAAAAAAAAAAGAAGAAAGAAGCTAAATATAAACATGAATATATAAAATTCTAGGGAATTCGCAGGCACTTGTGTATACCTGGTAACATTCTCCACACCCATTGCCTGATTGAAATAGAGAATTGCCTCCCGCTGATATCATTGAATTGAATGGAGCTTGCCCCACGGTTGGACCATATCCACAAGCGCCGCCTATAAAATTTCAAAAATGAAATAAAAATTATAATAATATTAAATAGAGTAGTATAAATTAATTAATTAATTATATATATATATATATATATTTTTTATTTGACCTTCGCTACCGTCACCATTGGGGCTGCCATACCAGGTGGCAACAGCAGGGGACCAATTAGAATTAGATACTGCAGAAGTGCTTATAATGGAGGCATTAAGAATCTTGGGATGAAAAGCAGAACAAGATTTGAGAAGCAGTAACAAAAAGAGTATAAAGAAATAGGAAGAATGGTGGAAAGAAAGAACCGCCTCCATGGTCATAAGCTATTGCTATATCAATTATTGATGAAATTCTCCAATCTTTATGACTATTTATAATGTTGTTGATACTAATCGGGATCAATGTTTATTGTAATTATTTTTAAATGGCAAGGAATTCGGCATATAATAAATTTGCTTCATTTTTTGTGGTTGGGAAAATTTTGGCACGCAAAAACACATAGTTTGCTCTTTAACTTTTTGAGTTTGAAGCATTTTACCCCATATTTTATCCCTCATCTTATAATATATGAGTTTTTACCTTTCAAATTTTTGAGTTTAGGAAAATAATATAATATTTAATATCAAAAGGTCACGTACAGTATATGCACTATTAGCTTCCATATATCATTATTGTACATGTCAGTGCCAATTCATATTTTTTTAATATGTTGGTAAATCTAGCTTGAACTCCTTGTGAGTAAAAATTCTACGACTAATAATTTTACCTTATAAGTCCCACTCACTGTCTTATAATTTGAAAAAAAAAAGTTAGATGAGGAAAAAAATAAATTTCCTAATACCAATTAAAAAAAATTAAAGAGATTTAAAAATTAAAATTATAAAAGATCTAAATATCTTTGACAATTAAAATTTTAGTATATCTTATAAAATTTTATTACATTATAAAAATTATTAAAATTACTAATATATCTCAAATAAATGCCCAATGGGCCTTTTAAAATTTTCAATAAATCTCTTAAAGATACTCATAAAATCTCAAATAAATATCAAATAAGACTATTTTAAGAGCCATCTTAAGCTCAGAAGCCTAATACTTCAATTCAAATAATCAAGGTTTTTAAAACTGGACCGGATCGGTCGGTTGAACCGGTTGGATCGGTACCCGATGATGAAAATAGTTCAGTCTACATAAAAAAACCGTTTGATGTCAAAATCGGTCAAAAATCGATAAAAACCGATGAAAATCAGTGAAAACCGATGGAACCGGTGGAACCGAAAAAACCACCGGTTCGATTTCTCATGCAATCTTCTTTCAATTTTTTCCAATTTCACCCTTCCCATTCCTTTCTTATACTCATTTTAACCTTTAATTTTAACAAAATTACAAAATTATCAACACCAAATTAGAAAATCCATGCTTGCAGCTTGCTCCTCTCATTAAATCTTCCTTGCTATTTGGACCGATCGGTTCATCGATTTAATCGATTGAACCGATTAAATCAAGAACCGAACCTAAAAATGGTTCAATAACCGATCCGGTTTTAAAAACCTTGCAAATAATATACTACTAAACTTTAATTCAACTTCTAGACTTTTAATTTAAATTCTAATTAAATTTGAAATTAAACTTTAATAATTATTTCACTACTAAAAATTGCATTAGTATTTATTATTTTTCTTACTATACTATAAAAATAATTAAAATTTTCAATATATCTTGAATAAATATCTAATGGATCTTTTAAAATTTTCAATAAATTCTTAATAAATCTTTGTAAATTTTTAATAAATATTACATAAATACCAAATGAATATTTTAAAGTCTCAAGTAAATATCCAATAACTTTTTAAAATTTAAACTCAATTATATTTTATTGTACAGGTTAATATATATTAATTTTAACTTCTAATAAAAAATTGAAGTCCCAACCTACATTTAGAAGCTAAAATCCTAATTTAAAACTCAAAAATCCACCATATTAAATATTAATACTTAGATTTAGAAACCAATTATACATTCTAATAGTTTAAAACCCCATTTTGGTCCTTTTATTTTAACAAAAAACTCTTTTTTGACCATCTACTTTAAAAAACCCCTTTTTGATGTCTCTACTTAAAAAAGCTTCCTTTTAATCCCTAAAATTTAAAATTTGGTCCCTTTTTAGTCCATTCGTTACTTTTTGCACCTATAGCATGTTAGATATCAAAAAATCTGAAGTAGATGAACTAAAAAAAAAAACCCTTTTTGGTCCCTCTATTTAAAAAAAAAAACCCCTTTTTAGTTTTTCTACTTTAAAAAACCTTTTTTTAGTCCTTTTGTTTTGAAATTTCTGTTATCTAACGTAATATTTA